CTGGCTTGTGGGCATCCCGCTGCCTCAGCCTCCAGAAGCCGCTGGGATTACAGGCACTTGCTGCGGAGCCCAGCTGGGTTTTTCCATTTTTTTCATGAGTTGGGGTCTCACTCTCGCTCAGGCGAGTCTCGAACTCCTGAGCTCTAGCGATTCTCCCTCAGGCAAGTCTTGAACTCCTGAACTCCAGCGATTCTCCCTCCTGAGCCTCCCACAGTGCTGGAATTATACTGACCTTGTTTTTTCTAAAAATAGAAAAATTATCTAGGCATGGTGGCAGGCATCTGTAGTCCTAGCTACTCAGGAGGCTGAGGGAGGAGGATCTCTTGAACCCAGGATGTTTAGGTTGCTGTGAGCTATGATGATGCCATAGCACTCTAGTCTGGGCAACAGAGTCAGACTCTGGATGAAGGAGGGAAGAAGAAGGGGAGGGGAAGAGAGGGGGAAGGTTACATGGAGGGAGGAGAGGGGGAAGGTTGCACAATTGGTGGGACCACAGCTGTGGTGCATATTGCAAGGGTACATGTCAAATCTATTTAGTGTAGAGTATAAATGTCTTAGCACAATAATTGAGGTGAAGACTCTGTTAACCAGTTTGATGGAAGCATTCCAAATTGTATATAAAATCAGCACATTGTAATTCCAACACTGTGGGAGGCTGAGGAGGGAGAATTGCTGGAGCTCAGGAGTTCGAAACTCGCCTGAGCGAGAGTGAGACCCCGACTCATGAAAAAAATGGAAAAACCCAGCCGGGTGCCACAGTGAGCACCTGTAATCCCAGCAGCTTCCAAAGGCTTAGGCAGTGGGATGCCCACAAGCCGGAGTCTGAGGTTGCAGTGAGCTACTAAGCCACTGCACTCTGCTCAGGGGCATAGGGTGGGACTCTGTCTCAAGAACAACCAAAAAATCAGCACATTATACCCCATAAATGCATTAATGTATACAACCATGATTTAATTTAAAAAAAAGGCTTTTCAGCTCAGTGCCAGTGGCTCAAGTGGCTAATGCGCCAGCCACATATACCTAAGGTAGTGGGTTCGAATCCAGCCTGGGCCCGCCAAAACAACAATGATGGCTGCAACCAAAAATAGCTGGGCATTGTGGTGGGTGCCTGTGGTCCCAGCTACTTGGGAGGCTGAGGCAGGAGACTCACTTGAGCCCAGGAGTTGGAGGTTGCTGTGAGTTGTGAGGCCACGGCACTCTACCCAGGGGGACAGCTTGAGGCTCTGTCTCAAAAAAAAAAAGCCTTTTCACCTGAGTGAAGCATATTCAGGAGTGTGTGGAGAAATATATGATTTGGCTTTTAAAAAAAATAGACATTTATGAAAATAGAACCTGCTAGTAAAGCAGGATTTCATTTAAAAAAAAGAGAGAGAGCAAGACTCTGTCTCCAAAAAGAGAAAAAGAATGTAGATATATATATTTTTTCTTTCCGACCGTGTCTCACTCTGTTCCCCAGGCTAGAGGGCAGTGGCACAATCATAGTTCATATTAATGAACTCCTCCTTGGCTCAAGTGACCCTCCTGCCTCGGTCTCCTGAGCAGCTTGGACTATAGATGCACATGTCACCATGTCTGGCTAATATATTTTTCTTTTCTTTTTTTTTGTAGAGTCAGAGTCCCACTTTATTGCCCTTAGTAGAGTGCTATGGCGTCACACAGCTCCAACTCCTGGGCTTAGGCGATTCTCTTGCCTCAGCCTCCCATGTAGCTGGGACTACAGGCGCCCGCCACAATGCCCGGCTATTTGAGGCTGCAATTTGGCCAGGATGGGTTTGAACCTGCCACCCTTGGTATATAGGGCCAGCACCCTACCCGCTGAGCCACAGGTGCTGCCCACTAATATATTTTTTCTAGAGATGGGATCTCACTATGTTGCCCAGGCCGGTCTCAAATTCCTGGGTTCAAATGATCCTCTTGCCTTGGCCTCTTAAAGCAGTGAGATTAGAGGGATGAGCCACTGTGCTCACCTCTGGCATGACTAATTAATTCATGGGTCATTGGTGAACAGATTAACCTTTAACCTCTTTTCCTTCCCCAGTGGGGCTGAAACCTTCTAATCATAAGCAACTGGGCCCCATTCTGAGGCCATCCAGGAGCCTAGCAAGAGTCTCAGTAGAAGAGAAGATTTTCCTGTCATCCAGGAAATTCCAAGGGATTTAGGAACTCTGGGTAACCCCACTATCAGAACAAAATATTTGCCTAATTGCCCCATCTACTAGGATTTTAGGAGCTCTATGTCAGAAGCCAGGGATAGAACCTAGTCAAAATGTCATACTTAACTACTGATAAACCTCAGGAGTTTTCGCACAGAAAATGTGATTTACAGAGGTACTTTCCCCAATCTTTGAGTTTTAGTAATGCAGTTGAGAAGCAGAATTTAAAATAATTGATTCATCTTTTATAGCTTTGATAAGTCCATACAAATTTCATAGCTCTTTCTTATTTATTTATTTTGAGACAGAGTCTCATTATGTCACCCTTGGTAGAGTGCCATGGTATCATAGCTCACAGCAACCTCTTAGGCTTAAGGGATTCTCTTGCCTCATCCTTGTAAGTAGCCGGGACTATAGGTGCCCGCCACAATGCCTGGCTATTTTTTGATTGTAGTTGTCATTGTTGTTTGGCAGGCCTGGGCTGGGTTTGAACCTGCCAGCTCTGGTGTATGTGGCTGGCACCCCCGCTGCAGAGCTATAGGCACTGAGCCATTCATAGCTCTTTCTGACTTCTTTAGTGACAAGACTTTCATTCATTTTTTTAGTATTTTTTTTTATTTATTTAATTTTATTTTTTTTGAGACAGAGTCTCACTTTGTCACCCTCGGTAGAGTGCGTCTTAGCTCACAGCAACCTCAAATGCTTCGGTTCAAGTAATCCTCTTGCCTCAGCTTCCCAAGTAGCTGGGACTACAGGCACCCACCAGGACACCCAGCTATTTTTTGGTTGTAGTTGTCATTGTTGTTTGGCAGGCCCAGGTTGGGTTTGAATCTACCAGCTCTGGAGTATGTGGCTGGCAGCTTAGCCGCTTGAGCTACAGGTGCCAAGCCATGCCTGGCTATTTTTAGAGATGGAGTTTCGCTCTGGCTCAGGCTGTTCTCAAACCTGTGAGCTGGCTCGGCGCCTATAGCTCAACCGGCTAAGGCGCAGCCACATACACCTAAGGTGGCGGGTTCGAATCCCCAGCCCG